TTCATATATGAAGTCATTCTCCGAGCATATACCCAAATCTTATTCAGAAGTGTTCAGATCTCTTCTGTGGTGCAGTTACCCTTCATGAAGCTTATTTCCAGGAGCATCATCAAGATACCACTTTAAGAAACCCTTTATTACCACTCAGACTCCTATTGTTGGGGATATCCAGTTCACTGAAAGAAGCATTGAAATGACTGTTTTGTTAACAGCCTTCAGCAATGCTGATTGTAAAGGGCTCTTTTATTTTACACTACTCTAGCAGGAATACCAACAATCTTCCCTTACTGAATAGAAGGTCGCTGTGTGAGCTCAAGTATAGGCTGCTACTGGAGAGGTGCTTAGCTTTTCCTCATTTTGGCTGTTGGCATCGTCATCAGATGTTGTGCATGAAACATCTACAGAAGCAGTGATGATGAAGACGGCCCTCTGAGATTCCTGGAGAATGTCAGTAGCAAGATAGATCTGAGGAGCACTCCCTAAAACAGGAGAAAAGGAGGAAAGGGACTCCTCCTCTCCTGCAGTGAAATGAGCACCCTGGAGACCCTAGTGACATTTGTCATGAGTGTGGAACTTACTTTTCTGACCCTAAGGCATGACTGTGGGCAGGGACAGCAGACAGAAGTGTGAATAGGATGGCTGCTGAGACAGGCACCTGGTGGAAGGAGAATGAAATAGTGTGAGCACCGTCAGCAGGCAGTGACCACCTTGGCTTTAACCAAGCCTGCCAATCCAGGTTTCTGTGAGATCACTGATCTAAGAGCCCACAGGGAACTTGTTTTCCCAGTCAGCCTGTCCTCTGAGAACCCCATGAAGTAAGTTAGAGTGAGTCTTAGGCTACAGCTTGACAGCCCAGCTTGGGACTGCCACTGGAGTGGCAGCAGAGACTGATTATGGGATTCTTGGTGTTTTGGGGTTGGGGAGTAATTTCAGTTGACATTCAGGATTATTATACTAATTGTTGGCAGGGCCTGGTAACTCTTTCTTGTGCTGCTCTGACGTTCACACTTCAAATACCCCTGGAACCAAAAAAAATAAGGGGATGCCTCAGCCTACCTCCACTGTCAGGGGTGACAACTATAGGGGATCCTTTCTGTCTTGGGATCACTAGATTTTCAGATCTTATTCTGAGTTCTCATCTTGGCTCTGCATAGGGCCTGGAACCCCTCTTCCACTCTATCTTGGCTTCACATTCTTAATAAGGATCTCATCTCCCTTGGACCAGTATGAAACACTGGGGAAGCCTCTACCTGACTGTCCTGCTATGGGCTTTGAAATGCTGAAAGCCAGGTTGGGGGCTGGATATTTTATTGCCCCTTCTATTGTGGGGAAGGAGTGTGATCACCTTGGTCTCCACCCAGGGTCCTCAATTTGACTCCTAGATGGATCTACAGCTCCCCTATCCTTTGACCAGAGGGCATTTCCTCATAGCTAGGCCCAGAATTCTCCATGACCTAGTAGAGTGAAAGTAGGGCAGCCTTATTTGGCCATACCTTCCTGTACTCTCCCAAGACAGAAAGCTGTGGCGGGCACTTTGGGGCCTCATGATGGTTGGCCTCACCAGTTCTCGCTCAGATTCTTCATTTTGACTCATGACAGTGCCCACAATTTCTCCCTTTCTTGACCCGTTACTGTCCCACTCTGAATAAGGCCCTCATTTCTCTGTCACTCTGAAAAGGAATTGAGGGGTGCTTTTGCTCTGCCTGACATTTCTCCCTGAATCTCCCAGGACTAACAGTAGGGGAGAAATGATGTGCTGCCTCCATTGTTATATTTCATGTTCTGCTCCTTCCTCATCATCCTTGCCCTGACTCCTGGCTCAAGCTGATAATGTTCTTTATGATGAGATGACCAGCCTCAGACCAAGCACTTTAGCCTGATGGCTCTGTCCTGGTCCTCTTAGGGCTGACAATAGGGACAGGACACTGTGCATTCCCTCTGTTCTCAGATGAGTGGTCTCCTCTATCCTCTCTCAGTGTCTTTAACTTGACTTCTACCTAACCAAATCTGAAACTCCACCTTCCACACTGCTGTGTACTTAAGGCCACACTGCTCAGACCAAGGCCATATCTTCCTGGAATGTCGCAATTGGAAGTTAGGGACAGCCACATCTGGCCACAGTGATTCAGGATCTTCTGAGGAATAATAGCAGGGTCAGACTCCTTTTCACTGCTTTGGAGTAAGTGGCTCCCTCAATTCTCACTCAGGTTTCTAACATTGATTGGGGGATGTGGAAGTCCTTCCTCTACTAATTTGAGTCTGTCAGCCAAAGCTTGCCTTTTACTGAGAAACCAGAGAGGGAAGTCAGGGTGCTACTTGTTGGCTACCCCAGTGTCCTCACCTTAAATCCAATGTAAGCTTGTTAGGATCTCCTTCATGAGCAGAATTAGAGCTACTGCCATGAAATCAAAGCCTTTATCTCCCTGAAGTACTAGTAGAAGCCTTAGGGAAAACAAGGGCGAACCTCAACCAGATAGCCCTGCCTATGGCCATCCAGGTAAAAAGAAAAATAAAGTTTTAGGAGCCCCTACTGTTCTGGGTGGATCATTCCTCATATTTCATTCAGAGTCCTCATCTTGAGAGTTTTCAGAGTCTGATATCCTCTTCCCACTAACTGGAACACACCACCCTTAGATCAGGACTCTTATATACCTGAAAGCCTTACATAAATAGAGAAATTTTAGCTTACAGCTGTAGCTTGGGCCTTCTAGATCTGAGAGTAGGCAGGGCCTGGTCTCTCAGTGACCCCTATATTCTGAGGCATTGGTCTCCAGAATCCTCAGTGATGGGGTTCTCATCTTCCTTTCTCTTTGACTGCTGGGAAATGTCACACAACTGCAAATTATTGAACAGGTTCCCTACTGCAAACCTTGCAGACAATGGCTCCCTGTCCCAGGTTTTGTATGAGATGGGGAAGCTGTACCACAAGCCGGGAGGCCCAGGACAAGTGGCGAACTATCAGTAAAAACAACACACTGATCTATTCTTCAGTTTCAACAGCCAGATTTAGTCTACTATGTACTTTGCTTTGAGTATATTTAATTTCTGTGGGGAAAGGGAAGTGCAGGATGATTTGTGGAGCTACTGATCTTATCAGGTTATTTGATGTTGCATATGTAGATGATCATACTGTCAATGAATATTATCTTTTCTGAATTTGTACTAGTCATGTATTGAGCATTATTATTACTCTAGTTGTATATTCCAAAGAAGTGCTTTGGGTACTATGTCCTTTTAATGCTCTGATAAACAGTTTGGGCAGTGAGAGGAAAAATGAATTAAAAGACACAAAGTCTGGCTCAGGCTGAGAGGATTGGAAAAATGTGGGCTCTAGATGAATCCAAACCAGAGATCTAGTCCCAGCTGTGTCAATTACAAGCCTATGAACTTTTAGATATTTACAATTTATTCATATTGAAGTGAGTCCGCTAAACCCTATCTTGTAGGAATTTTGGGGTGTAAGTACTGTCTATAAAAAATAAGGCAGACTGAATTCTACCAGACATACAAAGAGGAGCTGGTTCCATTCCTTCTAAAACTGTATCAAACAATACAAAAGGAGGAAATCCTCCCTAACTCATTTTATGAGACCAGCATCATCCTGATACCAAAACCAGGCAGAGACTCAACTAAAAAAGAAAACTTCAGGCCAATATCCATGATGAACATCGACGCAAAAATCTTCAATAAAATACTGGCAAACAGATTGCAACAGCACATCAAGAAGCTTATCCATCACGACCACGTAGGCCTATGAGAACATGTGGACTCAGGGAGAGGACCATCACACACTGGGGGTAGTTGGGGGGGGGTTGGGGGTGGAGAGGGTGGGAGGGATAACATGGGGAGAAATGCCAGATACAGTATGCACCTAAAGTAAAATAAAAATATAAATATAAAAAATAAGGCATACTAAGTAGGAAATACTGAGTAATGAATAGCAGTTACCATAATATGTTTTTACACAATATTATTAATTTTTAATTTTCCTAATGATATATTAAGAAACACAATTACCGGCCGGGTGCGGTGGCTCACGCCTGTAATCCCAGCACTTTGGGAGGCCGAGGCGGGTGGATCACAAGGTCAAGAGATAGAGACCATCTTGGTCAACAAGGTGAAACCCCGTCTCTACTAAAAATACAAAAATTAGCCGGGCGTGGTGGTGCATGCCTATAGTACCAGCTACTCGGGAGGCAGAGGCAGGAGAATTGCCTGAACCCAGGAGGCGGAGGTTGCAGTGAGCTGAGATCGTGCCATTGCACTCCAGCCTGGGTAACAACAGGAAAACTCCGTCTCAAAAAAGAAAAAAAAAAAAAAAAAAAAAGAAACACAATTACCATATCTTGAAAATATCTGAAACAATAAAAGCCTATGGAAAATTTTTAAACTTAGCAGCCTTGTTTCAAAAGGATTTTAGTGAACTAATTCTGGCTTATATTGATCACTGCATTTCATATGATTATTTTAAACCCAGAAAATTCCACTCTCCAATCAGAGTTTTTTTTTTTGATGTCATCAATAACAGAATATGAAGTGCACTAGAACAAAACAAACTAACAGCAGTCTTTAATAATCTAAACAAATCCAAGTATCCTTTATTTATATTAAAGGAAATAAGAAAAGGAATAAGGCAAACCAAGAATTAGGCAACTTTTGCATTTCCATTTTTACTTTGCTTTCTCATCATATTACAGTGTCAACTAGTTTACTGTGGAGTTCTTTAAGATTCATATCAAAATCCCTTCTCTATTACCATGTTATCTAGTTCTGAATTTTAAAGAAAATATGAAAGGTGTATGATTTTGTTTTAATACCAAAACCATAACATCCAAATTGGTTAAACAGCTATGAATGTGAGAGTTATGTTACTGATACATTTATAGTATAAAGCAAAATAAACCTTCACTTAACAGGAACAATCTTGAAAATTAACAATAAAAGCAAAACATAAATCTGTAAGTTACTCATGTGTAACAGGACAAAAGAAAGATACACATCTTTTTCCCTCCAGCCTCTACTATACTGTACTACTTAGAAAGCTCACTACTCTCTTCCAGCATAAAGCAAAAATTCTACTTCAGAATTCCCTAGAAGTGGATCTATAGGATATACTCCCATAAGGTTCCCTGGCCAAGAGAACAGTGCCAGCCCTGCCTTTAGTATCTCAGTCTCAGTGCTCTCTCTACCTCATCTATCAAAGCCTCTTCATACAGATGTGGGTAGGAACCAGGGGCAGTGTTATTGATACTTGCCAAAGCTCTCAGGACTCTCATCTTACTGGTTTCAGCATGGGCTCGTGGACCCCACAGGAACTCATAGCATGGAGGATCACTGTTATACACCTGCCGGTACTCCAGGTACTTATCTTGCACCAAATCTTCCATAATGATCTTCCGGGGCTCCCCATAGACTGAGTGCATGATTCCGTCATAGATCCCCAAAACACCCAGGAAGTCCCAGACCTCCTTTTCAGTGGCACGGTTCCCTCTCATGAAAATGAAACTCAGGAGAGACACCAGGATACCCGACTTCGCCAGCCCATTAACACCACTCAGAATGCCTTCACCGGAGAGGCCCAGCTTGCTGACAAGGGTGTAGGATTCGCCGCTGGAATCCATTTCTTTCAATTCAACGCCAAAAACCACTGCCAAATGGTTGGAGGTTTTCTTGAGGATCTCAGGCAAGTGCTCCTTGTACTTTTTGCTAACACGCTTCAGCATGTCAGCCTTCAAAATGATCTCTTTCTTCTCAAACTTCTCCTGTAGGAATTGCACCAACGCGCTCGCCTTCCTGTTTAGAGGATCTCGATCTGTGGTCTTAAAGAAGGCAGCTCTCTGGGACGTGACTGCACTTTCCTCATCTTGATTCAAGCCAGCTATATCAGATTTTGAGCATGAAACACCTGCATCGAGAGAGGCAGTGAGAGAAACCCCCTGAGACCCCTGAGGAACGGAGGCATCAGGGGAGGTGCTTGCATTTTCCTCATCTTGACCCTTGGCAGCCACATCAGATTTTGAGCATGAAACACCTGCATCAGGAGATTCAGTGGGTGAAGGTCCCTGAGACTCCTGAGGAACAGAGGCATCAGGGGAGGTGCTTGCACTTTTCTCATCTTGACCCTTGGCAGCCACATCAGATTTTGAGCATGAAGCACCTGCATCAAGAGAGGCAGTGGGTGAAGCTCTCTGAGACCCCTGAGGAACAGAGGCATTAGGGGAGGTGCTTGCACTTTTCTCATCTTGACCCTTGGCAGCCACATCAGATTTTGAGCATGAAACACCTGCATCAGGAGAGGCAGTGGGTGAAGCTCCCTGAGACTCCTGCGGAACGGAGGAATCAGAAGTCTTCCGACGAGCACCCTGACAAACAGGATAAGAAGAAGGGGAAGAGCGGGGCTCTTCCTGCTTTTCTGCAGTGGTCTGGGGACCTGTGAGATCCTGAGATTGACCATGGGTCTCTCGGCGTTTCTCACGGGCACGGTGCTTACTCTTGTGACCCCGAGGCATGATGGTTGTGGCCTGTGACAGCAGGTAGGAGTGTGGGCAGGAAGGCTGGCACCTGGACGGGAGAGAGTGACATCACATCAACACCTTCAGCAGAGAGCGACCATCTTGGCTTTAACCAGGACCCCTTCTACAGGTTTCTGAGAAACAACGGCTCTAGGAACTCACAGGACTCGTATTCTTCTGGTCAGTTTGTGTCCTTGGAACTCAGGAGGAAGTTAAGAGTGAGTATTAGACTGTAGCATGACGGCCCATTTTGGGGCTTACTGAGGTGACAGCAGGGGCTGGCAATGGGGGCCCCTCTGTTCAGGGGTCTGATCCTCTATATTTATGTTCAGGATCATCATAAAAATTGACAAGACCCAGAGGCCCATTCTCCTCTGCAGCTCTAAAATTGACACTAGGAATTTTTACAGTCCTAACGAGGAGGGAATAAAGAAGCACTTCTGCCCAACACTTCATTCTGGGGTCACTCAGACCACCTAGGGCTGACAGTACTGAAGAGATTTGACTGCTCTTGCTGTTTTAGTGAGAATTGTCCCCACGGTAATCAGACTCCTCACCCCGCCTCTTCCCACAACCTGGAAATCGTCCTCGCTGACCTGCCGCCATCTTACAACCCGGGCCCTATACTTCTCTGACGCTCACGGGAACAAAGTGAGAATGCACTTCAGTCTCTAGAGACCTGCCGGGACCCCAAACTGGCGTCGGCAGCAGAATTCGCTGTCACCCCGTTCTGGGGCATGGAGTCCCCTCAATCTTAAGGAGGATTCACTTTTAACTATGGAGTGCCTGAGATTTCTCTCCCTCCTGACCTGAGTCCACCAGCGTTGGACCAAGGCCTTCATGCTCTTCAACCTGACGGAAAAAGTGAATGCACTTTGGGCCTAGCGGCCATGCTTGCGGACTCCTCAGGGACCCGCTCAGGGGCGAGATGGGACAGGGCTCTCTAGAGTCGTTTTTTTTTAGGGTGAAGGGATTTGCGGTTGTCGGGCAATGTCCCCCAGTTCTGGGTCAGGATACTCACTAGACAACTGAGATCTAGGATGCCTCTTTCTGCAGACCTGATACAGCGCTATTCAGATCAACGTTTGGGCGCCTCAGCCTCTCTAGGCGGAACTCAGGGGGAACCACTTCCTGCCATGCCCCCCCCGACCTTCCCAGCGTAACAGCAGGGGCGGGGCTCTGCCACTCTCCATGTGTTCTGTGGGTGGGGTGACTCCCGGAAAATTGACATAAAATTCTTTCTGGGGCTATTAGCGGACCCTTGGACTTCTCTGTCTGCTGAGCTTAATCAGTCAACAGGAGATCAAGTATCTCATTCCCTGAGAGTCCAGAGTAGGAACTAAAGTGGAGCCTGACTCCGGAAGCCATGCCGGGACCCTCCAAGACTGTCACTTAGAGGTGGGGCTCCATGGGACCTCTTCTCGCACTCAGCAACAACAATGATCAATAGTAATAGTAAGAAAATTGATTGAATAAAGCTTTATTTGTTTGTTGGTTTGTTGGCAAAACCACTCTAAAGGCAACACTGCCTACTTCAATTAAGAGATACACAGGCCGGGCGCGGTGGCTCACGCCTGTAATCCCAGCACTTTGGGAGGCTGAGGCGAGTGGATCACGAGGTCATCCTGATCAGCATGGTGAAACCCCTTCTCTACTAAAAATACAAAAAAAATTAGCTGGGCATGCTGGCAGGTGCCTGTAGTCCCAGCTACTCAAGAGGCTGAGGCAGGAGAATTGCCTGAACCCAGGAGGCGGAGGTTGTGGTGAGCCGAGATCGCGCCATTGCACTCCAGCCTGGGTAACGAGAGCGAAACTCCGTCTCAAAAAAAAAAAAAAAAAAAGAGATAAACAATATCTGTTATCACCTTCGTGGTCATGTTGGTAGTCATTGAGGATTACCACTTTATCAACTAATCCGTTAGGGGCTGAAGAATGGTTATTCTGTCTAAAATAGTTCTATACCTACAACCTTTTTCTTGTCTGCTATTTGTTTTCCTGATGTAATGGTAAATGTATTTATTGTGTTCTCTTATAATTTTTAAAATTCTTCTGTACGTAAATTTTCTAATTTTATTTAACTAACATCACTTATTTCCATTTTCATAATAGATAACCCTTAAAGTTTTTTATATAAATGTAATAAATGTTATTTAAATGTCATACTATATAAATTGTTATATAAATCTTTTGAATAAACTGGCTTTCATTAGTTGACTGTACTGTTTCTTAATGCATCATTTCTGCATTTATCATCATTATTTTCTACCTTTTACTTATTTCGGCATATTATGCCATTGTTTCTGTAGGCTTTGAATTATTTGTAGATTTTACTTTTTTTGATAAATATATTTAAAATTATAATATTCTTTTCAGTGCCACTTGGACTTTCTCCCATAGTAGTACTGTGGCACTTTATGTGTAGTGTGCAAAGATTGTAAAAGTTCAATTAATCTCTCCATTATGCTCTTAGAATTTTTGAATATATATAAAATATGTATGTATATTATATATTTTACATTTATATATAAAATACATATTTATATAACAGAATTTTAACACAAACATTTACATACATGCATGCACACATACACATTTATATGTAACAGTGTTTTTTTCTAGAATTGAAATGACAGTTTCTCATGAAGAAATTAATCAATATAATTGGCCAACTCTAACAGTCAAAGATTATCCAGGAAACAGAAACCATTCTAAATACAGGAAATAGGTTCCTAGAGAAGTCAGCCAATAACAGTGGAACAAATAATACCTATCAACTCAAGGAAGGCACTCCTACCTCTAAGCTGGAGGAAGAAAGAGAAAATACGTTATTGCTGAAATACAGGAGTTGTGGTCAACAGGATCGGAAAGCATGGCTGACCAATAATGAAGGAAATTATAGCCGTGGAGAAGATGTATCCATTGAAGAAGCAACCTGCTGCAGAGAGAAAGAAGGTAAAAAACTTTGAGCACTTCCAGTCTCCTGAGCTCTCATCTCCAGCTTTTCCACTTTTTGTCTGAACTAAGCTGACATCCAAGTGTTGAAGAGCACAGAGCATAAGAAATGGGAGTCAGACATTTTATGATGGAGAGTAAAGAAGGGGAGGCTTGAGGAATAGACCTCAGGGCAAGAAGGTCCAAGGACGGACATAAGTCACAGACAGCATAGATCAGAAAAATTATATATAAACCAATACAGAATAATGTTTTAAGCTAACATTCATTCATGCTTAAAAAATACATATTTTCAGTCTGGCAAAGAATATATACAAAACAACAACAGTAAGCATCATATGTAATTTGAAAATATTGAAAGGTTTTACTTTAAAATTAGAAAATAGAAAAGGATGCTTGATGTCATCATTTCTATTTAACTTTTTAATCAAGATACTACATAGTTCTATAATAGAAACTGGAAAAGTAAAAGGGATAGAGATCAGAAAATTAAAAGAACAATTACTATCATTAATAGATTACTATAAAGTAGGTGTGTGAATACTAATGAAAAACTATCAATAAAAGTATTTTTTAAAGTTGGTGCACATAGGGCAAAATATAAACATGTATTTTGTTTCTGTAGCAATAAACAATATGAAAATGAAATTAATCAAAATATGATTTACCATTATCAAAATATTAGTTCCTATTTATATGACTATATGTAATCTGTACATATACAGCTATTATTTATATAAATAAATAAAAAGTAAGTACACAGAGAATGGTTATATGTTTATGTAAAGAAAAATTCAATATTACAAACATGTTCATTCTCTGCAAATAGAATTTACAGTGTATGATTCTCTCAAAGAAACTCAATAGATTTTTGTGTATGAAAATTAACAGGCTGATTCTAAACTTAAATTTAAATTGACTTGCAAATGGCCAAAATATAAGAGGACTTACTCTCCTAGATGTTAAGAATTTTTTTAAAAACTATAGTAATTATTTGGATTTTGTTCCTCATTTGGTTAATATGGTTTATCACATTTATCGATTCTTGTATGTTGAACCATTCTTGCATCCCTGCAGTAAATCCCACTTGACCATAGTGAAGGATCTTTTCTGTTGAATTAAGTTTCCTAGTATTTGGATGAGGATTTTTGCATCTGTGTTCATCAGGAATACTGGTCTGTAGTTTTCTTTTCTTCTATTGTTTTTGCCTGGCTTTGGTACTAGGGCAAATGCCAGCCTCATAAAACAAGTTGAAAGTGTTTCCTCCTCTTCAGTTTTTGGGAAGAAATTGAGAAGGATTGCTATTAGTTCTTTAAACGTTTGGTAGAATTCAGCAGTGAAACCATCAGGTCTTGGACTTTTTCTGAAGACAAGCTTTTAAATTATTGATTTGATCTCCTCACTTGTTACTATTTAGTTCATATTTTCTACCTCTTCCTGATTCAGTCTTGACAGATTGGATGTTTCTAGAAATGCATTTATTTGTTTTAGTTATTCAATTTGTTGGTGTGTAATAATAATCTCTTACGATCCTTTTTGTACTTCTGTGGTGTCAGATATAATGTCTCCTGTTTCATTTCTGATTTTGTTTATTTGATTTTTTTTTTATTTGTTAGTCTAGGTTTGTTGATTCAATTTTGTTTTAGGTTTTCCAAAAATGATCATCCTGATGGCTACAGAAAAGGCTTCTCACAAAATTTAACATCCTTTCATGATAAAACGCTCTCAATAAAGTAAATATTAGAAGAGAAAATGACTGATTAAATGCAGCCAGGAAGTGCCATTCCCACAGAGAGAGACCACAGTGTTGACTACACCAACATAATTTGAACAAATCTTTGTAGAGAAAATATTCAACGTTGATAGAGAAAAGATTCAGTCGCTGAAGCTGAAGAGAGAGAGAGCTAGAAATTCCACAAGGGGTGCCTGAATGCTGTAACTGGTTCCTAGCCCTGAACTGTGCCTGGGGAAAGGGTGAGTGAAGGGACTAGGGGACAGCTTACTTTCACCACAGACCTCTGGGATTCTAGCTTCAGTGGACCCAA